TAATAATAGTAGGTATCTTCGTAAATAATAGATGACAAATTGGGTATATTAGTCTAACCAATTTTGAACGGTCACTAACCCAAAAATCTCTGGTACAACTGGTTGAAAATATTTGCTGTGCGGCCCAGAAAAAGTAAATAATGAGAATGAAAACTTGAAAAAAATGGGGCTCAAACGGACGGTTAGTTTGAAAATAATTCCTACAATACTTTTGTCTAAACTTAAAAGTTACTTTTAAATAATTCTGATTTTTTTGCTATTACCATAATTTCGTATATTCCTTGTGTGGATAGCTTTTTTATTTTTATTTTCATTCAAGTCCTCTATTCATGTTTAAACTGTCATTTTCGTACTTAAAAATGGTTTGCATTTCTTTTTCTTGATTGGTACATATTCCAAAATAATAATAATAATAATAATAATTTTCTTTTATGCACATTTTTTTTTGCATGTGTAATTATTTTTACGTATTAGCCCGACTTGTAATCCGATCCGGATCCGTTCTTGCATACGATTTGTTGAATAAAAAATTGAATAAGAAAAATAAAAATTTTCAACTCTACAAGAATAACCCTTTCATTATCATTATTCGAGAAAATATGGACAATTGATGAGCATGGATAAGTAGAAGAACCAATAAAATTAATGTATAGATAAATATAAGGAATAGAAACATGGATTAAATGGCACATTTGATTGTGATCTCTAAGTTTATCATTTTTTAAAAATTTTTTTTGTTCTTGCACTTTTGAATATGAACTATAAGTTTAAACTCATTTTCATAAGATTAATTTTTTTTGTCATCATGATAATGAATTATCATATTTAAATGGCATTGAATGATATCAATAATATGTGTGTCATGTCCCTATACTTAATTGAACATATTATTTAATTTTTACCGTGCTGCTATATAAGTCGATGGACCATTATCATGATAACAAATAATGTTATATTTCTTAGAATTCGAATACACAAAAGGCACCGAATACAAAGTGAATATCATTTGAAATAACAACTCGATGTCAAACCCTCCTAGTCCCAACCTCTCCGGCTACCTCGCCGCCGCCTAAGTGCCCCACCATTTGATCTTGGTCAATTTCATGGCATTGAAGGTTCAATCATCTTGTTTTCACTGGTTTATAGGTTTGTTTTGGAATTGTATTCAAAGTTTCAATCCATGCATGCTATTTTCGTCCCTATTAAGAAGTTGAGTTATAAGCCGGTTCATTTTAGTTTTATCGATGTGAAGTATGTATACAAAAAAAAAAAAAA